CACAGGCCTCCTCTTCATCCTCAAAACTTCCTCTGCCTCTATCAATAAGGGTACATGTGATGGCTTTGAGAGCCCTCCAAGATAATCTAGGATAGGTTCCTCTGCTGGAAATCCCAATTTAATGCATCTATTCCAATATAGAGTAGTAGTTTTTCTTTTGCCATATGTATTAACCAATCTAGAATCTCCAGAGAAAAATGAACTGATAGGGTGTGTGTGTGTGTGTGTGTGTGTGTGTGTGTGTGTGTGTGTGTGTATACACATGCATAAAGGAAGAGAGGAAAAGAGTGAGTGAGAGAGATTTATTTTAAGGAATTATAAGAAATGAGTCACAATTTTGGAAGCTGACAAATCCAAATCAGCAAGGCAGGCCTGCAGGCTAGAGGTTCAGGGAAGAGTTGACCTTTCAGCTTTAAGCAAAAACCATCTGAAGACTAAAATCAGCAAGGTGACAGTAGGAAGTCCTATCCCTGGTTTACCCACAGAAACACCAAACTGATGGGGGTCCTGAATCTAGTTAATAAGTTGCAGTCTTCCAGAGGAGCACAACCTGGAGAGAAGCTACAGTGAACAGAGGAAATGGAAAAAGCAGCATCTGGGAATGCAAGCTGGTATAGCCACTGTGGAAAACAGTATGGAGATTCCTCAAAAAACTAAAAATAGAACATCCCATGACCCAGCAATTGTACCACTAGGTATTTATCCAAGGGATACGGGTGTGCCATTTCGAAGGGACATATGCACCCCAATGTTTATAGCAGCACTATTGACAATAGCCAAAGTATGGAAACAGCCCAAATGCCCATCAGTGGATGAATGAATAAAGAAGATGTGGTATATCTATGCAATGGAATATTGCTCAACAATCAAAAAGAATGAAATCTTGCCATTTGCAACTACGTGGGTGGAACTGGAGGGTATTATGCTAAGTGAAATCAGTCAGAGAAAGACAAATATCATATGACTGCACTCATATGAGGACTTTAAGGGACAAACCAGATGAACATAAGGGAAGGGAAACAAAAATAATGTAAAAACAGAGAGGGGGACAAAACATAAGAGACTCATAAATATGGAGAACAAACAGAGGGTTACAGGAGGAGTTGTGGGAGGGGAGATGGGCTAAATGGGTAAGGGGCACTAAGGAATCTGTTCCTGAAATCATTGTTGCACTATATGCTAAATAATTTGGATGTCAATGTTTAAAAAAATTAAAATTAAAAAAAATATCTACCATATGCTAACTAACTTGGATATAAATTAAAAATTAAAAAAATTTAGAAAATATTTTAAAAATATAGTAAGCCTTTAGTTACATTTTACGTGTTCTTTACTCTTAAATTTAAGGTTTCTACTATCATTTCACAGTTCCCAGAAAATATGACATATCACATTTCTGCTTTAATGAATTTAATAATTTTTTAGGCCTAAAACCTTGATATTTGAAATAATCTTCTTTGTCATTTGAAAAGTGTACACCCTCTCTTGTCGAAAATGCTGCCAGTTTGTCCCTTGAACTATGTAAACTTTCTAATAAACTTTCTAATAAAATTATTTTAATAAAAAAAAGAAAAGAAAAATCAGTGTCCTCAGGAAATGTTGGTTTTAGATGGGGTTATAGGATTTGAGGCGGAAAGGGAGGGCATAAGTGCAGGTGGAGAGGCAGGAAGACAAATATGCGTGTCTGGAGATCCTGGAATATTCTAGGCAGGTGACAGGTTTTAGGCTGGCTTTATGAATTGGAGGTAGTGAAGATTCCACTAACCTGACTAGATCACGCCAAGAGGGGAGGAGTGGAAGACGATGCCCATGTTTCTGACCAGCACTTCCAGACCCCCGCACTCCTTGCGTAGGAAGTTGACCAGTGCATGGCTGCTCTGCAGGTCGTGGATGTAAGGCAGGGGGAAGCATGTTTACGAGCACCATGTTCCCTGAGACCTGCTGGCACAGAACACCCATGATGGCAAAGCCTAGTTGGACCTAGTCACCAGCACCATGTGGCTGCAGGCCTACCAGGCTGAACGAGTCACTTGAGTTTGGAAAGCAGACATCATAAGACACTGGGTGTGTGTTTTGGCCCCGGGCACTGGCACAGATGTCAGTAGAACTGTGTTCTAGGATCCAGGGCTGTTACCCCTAGAGCCAGAGGCCCTACCTCCATCCCCCATCAAAGGAGGAGCCAAAGGTTCCAGATGGTTCCTTAAAGATGCTATGCCAGGTCTGTCTCTCCCAGGGTTGTACCCTGAACCCAGATGGAACTCCCCACTCTTAGGATCCCTCCTCTGAGCTCAGCAATGGTTCAGG